ATAGCAGAGTAGAGGGAAGAGACAAATTGATGGAGGGTGATTTGGCCCGACCTCGCAGCACGGGTCACGTGGGCGTGACCTTGCTCAAACAGTGACTCAGCATGACAGCGCAACGAGCGTGAACACAACTCGGAGGGAAAGTCCCACCGAGTACAGCTCGGCAACTCGACGGGTAAACTACTCGCCGGGAGCTGCCTTACCCGCACCTCCTCCCCGGGGTTAAGGCACTTCGGGACGTCCCGAGTTCGGGACGTCCTGACCTCTCTTAAGGACCAAGCTCCCCCCAATGGACCTCGGGCCACTCCCAGGCAAGAAAGCACCGATCCATCTCTGGACACCCCGAGGCATGGACACCTCGGGTCAGCCAACTCGGCATAACTTGCTACAGGCAGCTCATCACTCAAGAGACAGCCCAGCTCCGGGTGATTTGCGGAAGGGCAGTTCGGTATATTGTAGGAAAGCTTCCTGCTCGACCGCCGTACCCGACAAATCTATGGATAGCAGACATGTCCCTCGTCAGATAGTGTCGCGCCTATCACCTTCAGAAAGGTGTCTCGCGCCTGATAGGCACGTACCCTCTAGCGATGGCCCCGCGCGTGCCACCTCAGCCTTGCCTGTAGCGGCTGTGGCAGGCTGACAATGGCGGTTATACCTGCCCTGTCAGAAGTCAAAGGGCCGAAAGCAATGGGATTCGATTATAAGGGGATCATTCTCAAGGAACAAGGTATCTTCGAATCACTTGCGCAACCTTCACTCTTAGCCTTTTGTTTCCCTTCTCTTCTTGCACACAGTACTGACTTAATCATCGGAGCGTTCCCGCCGGGAAACCCCCCGGGAGTTCTTCCTCTTTTCTCTCGTCTCAGGTACCTCTCAGGAGCCACGCGAGTGCCAGCTAGGAGTGACCGGATAGCACAACATCAACAACTATCAACAACCATAAATTTCTGATCAAAGCAAATGCTTTATTCACCCTGCTCTCAAAAAGTGAACAATTTTATAGGCCTAGGGTATCTTCTATACAATCTTACATGTCTAGAATCAATGAGGATTGGATTTTTGGACCATATGATGGGTCTCTGTTTGAGAAGATGGTGGAAGAAAACAGATCTAATAATGTTTGACTTATTTGAGAAGATGGTGGAAGAAAACAGATCTAATAATGTTGGACTATGGGAGTAAGGTTTTCAAACATGTTAGAATATAAAAGGAAATACCAGATTTCAAAGGAGATGATTCACAAGCATTCTTTGATTGGGTTGTTGAACTAGAAGAATATTTTGAGTGGCATGATATATTTGACAAACAAAGGATTAGATTTGCATGCATGAAATTGACGAGTCATGATAAAGTGTGGTGGAGAACTCTTGAGCAACAACTAGGAAAGGGATGTGATGATCCTATTAGTACATAGATATAGATGAAGAGGAGTTTACAATTAAAGTACATCCCACTAGGCTTCCATGATGATCTATATATGGAGTTAACAAATTTCAAACAAGAGAATAAGTAGCAAGTTATAACAAAGAACTTGAAGTCAATGGGAAGAAGCCACAAAGTTGAAAAGCAAGTAAATGATTCATCGCATGTTGATGCCTATCCTAGAACTGAAGTTGATGATGAAATTAAAGAAGAAAATTTTCAAGCTATAGAAGTTGTAGATACTAAAAATCAAAAGGGTGCAAACCAAGAAAAAGCAAAAATTGCTAGAATTTCCAGCACCCATGATTAGTTTGAGGTTAATGAT